GAGCTGAGAACGCACCAGCTCTGCTCCTGTGGTGTGGTGTGGCTTGGGGGGCCCTCCCCTCTGTTCTCTCATCGCCCTCACACCTCACCCCCCACCACCCCCCTCCCACCCCCCAGGCAGCAGACATGCAGCCACTCCTAGTTCAGAAAGAAGCTTTATTCCTCCGGGACACCTTCAGGGCTAGGGCAGGGGGCAGGCCGGCTCAGCCTTCAAACTTTTTCTTGCGGCCCTCCATTCCACTCAGCGCATCGATGTTCTTACGCCAGTCTCCCACCTCCCGGTTTTCCTGGAGGAATGGGGTGAAGGGTTAGGGTCTCTCCCTGGTCTACAGTCTCTCAAATATCCTCCGCCCACCCTCCAGCCTGCTGGGCCACTGTGTTTTGGATGTCCATCCCGGGATCTGGTTCTGGAACACTTCTCGTCCCCTCAGGCAATCCCGTCAAATTTGCCCCCATGCACATCCTGTCTAACACACGCACTGAGGGCCTCCTTGCTTACGTCTCTTCCTAGGAGCCTCTGCGTCTTCCCCTTCTTGTCTCCCCCATGCACTATTTTTCTCTCTCATGGACTTCCTGTAGACCTCACACACTTCCTGACTCCTTGCTACTTCCTTTCTCCCTCATGCACTTCCTGGCTTCCCCTTCTAGTTTCTGTCTTCCTCTTGCACTTCCTATGCCCCTGCTACAGTTCCCATTGAGGACCCCTTACCAGATTCTTCTCCCCATAACTCCAAGTATCATCGGCCCTGAGTTTAGGCCCTAGGACTGTTGTGCCCCACACCCTCTCTGAGCACCCCCTTCCCTGACCCGAGCCACACTCACCTTCTCTGTGTCCTCCTTCTTCACCTGCTTGAGGTGGGCCCGCAGGTCTAAGGTCTCCTTAGCCCTGGCGCCCAGCAATGCCTGCATCATGGCATCCGCAGAGATCCTCACCCTCCGCAGGGTGGGCCGCTTAAATTTGCCCCGAAGGTCAAAGATCTTCTGGGTCAGATCTGCGATCTGGGAGCAGCCATAAGAGGAGGTGGAGACCTCCCCACTCCACCTCCCCCAGCCCCATGCTTTCACCCTACATTTCCCTCCTATCTCTCTCCAAGCCTATGGAGGCCTCATCCAGGCTCAGCGCCAACCGCCTTCGGGAAAAATTCCAAGGGCCTCATCCAATAACTCTAAGTACCCCCCCCCCGATCTGTCCAGTCTCCTCTCTGCAAAACACAGACACATCCCGGTCCAGCTGTGTGCATCCCACAATTCCCTGAGCCATGCCTGAGCTCACTCATCAACACTCGATGCTCCGGCTACACATTTCCACAGACACAACTTCACTTTTTCATCTCCTGGCTTTTGCATGCTGTTCCGTCTGCCTGGAACAGCTTTCCCTAACCACTCTATACTCATTCTTTTGCCCCGTCCCTTCCAGCCCCACAGAGCTATCCTGGGTCTCCTGGCGTCTGCAACCACACACAGCTGCAAGGGGACAGGCACCAGACCCTACCCTGAAGAGACCGAGACTGCCCAATACTCCCCACCTCCGTGATGTTCTTGGTGACTTTCGCCTCCACGTCGTATCTCTCTTCATCCACTTTGTCCACGCGGGCGTGGAGTTGTCGGCACAAGTCCTGGTCAAGGAGTGGTGGTATATGTGGTGGGAGGGGGACCCCGAGTCCTGAGTCTGAAGGAGGAGGGGCTGGGGGTCTGGACATCTGGTCCTGGAGGAATAGTTTGAAGCTGGACTCTGGGGCAGCTCGAAGAAAGGGTGCTAGGAGCCAGGAGTCCAGAGAATCTGATGGAACTGGGACTGGAGAAATCAACCTCTGGATTTTGAGACTGTAGGCAGCTGCAGGCCATATTCCTGAACTCCTGAGGGTAAGGATTGGGAGACTGGACCCCAAGGTCCCCAGCAGAAGGGGGGCATAGTGACTAGACCCGTGAGTCCCAAGGATGCAAGACCGGACATTAGGAACCTTGGATCCTCAGCTGGGCAGGAGTCCCTCTGAGAGCGGGTACCTGCAGCTCCGCGAAGCCCAGCCCGGCCAGCTCCAGGGGCTGGCACCGCGTGCTCAGAGCGCGCCCCTTCTCTCCGCGCCGCTCCTCCGCCTCCCGCTCCAGCTCTTGCTTCGCAATCTGCAGCATCAGGGTCTGCGGAGGGGAGGCCAGGGGCCGCAGCCCCTCCGGGATAGCGGATGAGGGCCGCGCCGCACCGGGGAAGCCGCCCTGGCCCGGACAGCCCACTCTCTAGTCTCAGGCCCGGTCAGCTGTCCCGCAGAGACACTCCCCCTCAAGGTCGGGTCCTTAGTTCCAAAGCGGCTTGCCACAAGCCCCGCCCGCTCGCCACGGAGGCCCCGCCCCCCATGCACCCAACCCCCAAGCTCTGCCCCCTGAGGACACCTAGGAGCCCCCTCCAGGCCCGTCGGCACCTTCAGCTGCAGTTTCCTCGAGGCGGAGATCTTGGACTTCTTCTGCCGGGGTGGAATGGAGCAAGGGACAATCAGGGCGGGGAATGGAAGACGGACGGTGGTGGTGGGGGCCTCACAGCCACTCCCTCACACCTGGTCCAGCTTTGGGCCTGCCTCCAGCTCCAGCCACGACTCTACGGGAAGCCACGCCCCTCATCCCCATTCACCAATCCTGGCCCCTGACTGGTTAGGCACCGCCCTCTCTACCCTAAGCAGTGGCAGTTCCCACGGGCAACGGAACTCCGCCCATAGGCAGGTCTCACCAATCCGAGCCCTCCCTCTGCAAAACCCCGCCCTTGAAGCGCGGCATCCTCCTAGGCTCCGCCCGCGACCAAAGCCCCGCCCCATCTGAGGCTCTGACCCCAACCCCCACCCCTAGGTGCCGCCCACCTCTGTGGACTCGGAACTGAGACCCGCGCAGCCCCGCCCTCACCTTGGCGTGCGGCTCCGTGGCGTACGCGCGGTAGTTGGCCGAGGACCGTCGTCGGATCGGGGTGGGAGCGGGGGGCGGGCACTCCGCCTGGGGTTGGGGGAACGGAGCCGCGTCACCGCCGGGCCCCCCCAGCCCCCCACCACGCGGTGTCCTGGGTTTGCAGACTCCTGCCCCAGGCCCCTCTCTGCTGCGCCCCCCCCCGTTGGTCGCCCCCGGCCGGTGCCCCCTCTCACCGCATCGCTGCTCCTGGAGGGAGAGACAGGGAGGGGGGATTAATGAGGGGGCTGTGTCCCGTCCAGTCTAAGGGACTCCGGCCCACCAGCTCCCCCATCCTTGGGTCCTAGGCGGTCTGAGTCCCAAACTTTTCCCTCGTGCAGACACCCAGGGATCCTGTCCCCACCTCCCTTCTCAGGCCCTGTGTCCACCTCCCACCGCCTCAGGCCTCGGGAGTCCGAGTTACCAAGCTGCACTCACTCGTCCGCCATGCTGAGACTCAGGCCAGGGGTTGCAGGAGGCAGAGAAAGGGCAAGGGGCTCTTGGAGGGTCAGTGAGGGCACGTCCGGGGTGACCTTGAAGGGCCCCGGGGCTTCGTTCTCCTCCGGGCTGCTCAAACTTGACTGAGGACACTGAGACAAGTGGCGTGGACTGAGACTAAATATACTGCTGTCACCTCCTCCCCCTGCCCAGGATGCGAGATAACTGGGGCGCGTGAGGGATGGGGTGGGCCGGGCCGTGCTCCAGCTGGATCACCCTTCCACCTTGGCGGCCTGGGAACTCAGATCCAGGAGTCCAGGCCCCCAGCCCCCTCCTCCCTCAAACCCAGGAATCCAGGCCCCCAGCCCCATCCTCCTCCCTCAGACCCAGGAGTCCAGGCCCCCAGCCCCTCCTCTTTCAGACCCAGGAGTCCAGACCCCCAGCCCCCTCCTCCCTCAGACCCAGGAGTCCAGCCCCCATTCCCCTCCTCCCT